CATACCTCCGTACCACTAATACTGCAAGTACTGCCATACCTCCGTTCCGCTTATACAACGCTAAAACATAATGACTTTCAAAATATCTAAGTGAAAAATGTTTTTAAAAATTATACTGAATGCAAGGTGTCGTACGTGATTTGATTCCCACGTTCATTTTCTTCCTAAATGTAACTTTGTGATTCCAGGCGTCTTACGTGATTTGGGGCCCAGGAGTTGCTTTTGGGATTTGTTGCATTCTTGTGGCTTTCCTCACCCTCCTGCTACCAGAGACGAATGGAAAAGAACTCCCACAGACAGTCGAAGACTATAATGATTGGGTAAAACGAAAACCGAAAGCAGCACAAACAATATAGATGCGTGACTAACGATCTGTAACTACGACTCCTTTGTCAGTGATAAAATTTGACTGTTTTAGACCGAAAGTAAAGAACCACAAACGTTAATTAATATACAATTCTTTTTGTCATTTTCGATTCCTAACAGTGTATTCATCATTTGATTACCAATTTCCTTTGAGGGAGGTGTACACGGATGTATAAGAGATTTACGGTTCTAAAGAAACATCCCTAATTGGCCCCTTGTTCCTAGCGACGACCACGTTTTACAAATGGTCTTAATTTTCTTACATGTTTATTACGAAGGCATTGGCAAACGTTTAATGTGTACTTACAGTATAAAGTTTATCACCATGGCAACAATTTCATCTTTGAAGCGTTGATTATATTAGCATGTTGCAGCTAATATCAATCACCATAGGCGAAGATCTAATCGTGTTTAACCGTAGATATTCGGCATTCCAAGGCTACATGTAATCAATTATAGCACATGAAAAATACAAATATTCTGTATAGAAACTTTGATTAAACGTATACAAATGAATCTCGTTTATCTGGACACTTATTTCATATCCGGATTATCATGGTTTCTGTTTCATTAAAATAGGAATTATCCTCGAAAGGTATCTAAATATGCTATTAAGGGTCAAGATAATCACTTTAATTATATAGTTGTTATATTTGTAATATTATAAGATACACATTATAATCACATATTTGTCATCTCGTAATATTTCATTAAGATAATCACTATAATTATATAGTTGTCATATTTGTAATATTATAAGATACACTTTATTATCACATATTTTTCATTCTTGTAATATTTCATCAAGATACTCACTATAATTATATAGTTGTCATATTTGTAATATTATAAGATAAACATTATAATCACATATTTGTCATTCTTGTAATATTTCATTAAGATAATCACTATAAGTATGTAGTTGTCATATTTGTAATATTACATTAAGATACACATTATTTAAGGAATGATTTTTATTTTTTCAACATTTTTGAGGTCCNAAAACCCATTGTTGTTATGACCTCATAAATGTTGAAAAAATAAATATCATTCCTTATATTTACATTGACGAATCCTTTCAGTGGATCGATATAACAACGAATAAAACAAATAAACAGGGTTTGTTCCTGCTTATACACGGGTGCAACGCAGTGGCGAGAACAGTGTTTTTTCGCGGGGAAATGTGACACTATCGTGAGAGATCTTAGCAACCGTCAACAACAATAACACAACAAAATGTAGTTCCATATTCAATGTTTATTTGTAGCACAGGACACGTGAATACGTGGATATTTCACAAAGCACAGTTCAATAATATTTTAAGATGTAAGAATTAAGCATCTAGGTCGGTCGTTCCGAGTGAGTAGTTTTTGTAGTGTATTACTACGCAGTGTGATCAGGTTACTATCAGTTCCCACGTGCTGAGATTCTATGAACACCTGTGTTATGCATTTATGAATGTAATTTTTGTCAATGGGTCTAAACATTCAGAATGTAAATATAATGACATAATTGTCATTCTTGTAATATTTCATTAATATAATATCTATAATTATATAGTTGTCATACTTGTTATACATGTATTACATTAAGATACAGATAATAATTATAAAGTTGGCGTACTTGTAGTATAACATTAAGATACAGACTATTATTATGTAGTTGTCATACTTGTAATATAGCATTAAGATACAGACTATTATTATATAGTTGTCATACTTGTAATATAACATTAAGATACAGACTATTATTACATAGTTGTCATACTTGTTATATTGCATTGAGATACAGACTATTATTATATAGTTTTCATACTTGTTATATTACATTAATGTACAGACTATTTTTTAATGTTGTCATACTTGAAATATTACATGTTATACACATTATAATTATATGTTTGTCATAGTTGTAATAATACATTAAGATACAGACTATTATTATATTGTTGTCATACTTGTAATATTACATTAATGTACAGACTATTTTTTAATGTTGTCATACTTGAAATATTACATTAACAAATAGACTATTATTATGTAGTTGTCATACTTGTAATATAACATTAATATACAGCCTTTTATTATATAGTTGTCATACTTGTAACATAACATTAAAATACAGACTATACTTACATAGTTGTCATACTCGTTATATACTATTAAGATACAGACTATACTTACATTGTTGTCATACCTGTAATAATAAAAAAAATAAAAAAAATATAGTAAATTCAGATACAGACTATAATTAGCCTTCCTTTATTTACATGTCAAAAACATATTCGCTGTTATGAAAAAAATGGAGAAATGCTTTATACATTTCAATGCGATATGCTCTGTATAACGCGAACCAGTGTTTGTCGGATTTATATGTATATACACAATCGGTATAAACCGTACACACCAGTTGTTACAAGCTAGCAAGCAGACTGGTGTTCTCAAGGATAGCGCCTGGTTATAGCCTTCTCCTATGGACGGTACCGAGCAACCATCGAGTGTCTACCCCAAAATGGCCACATGCTTGGTTGTTGATGACTTATGGCAGGTTCTCCGACCCTGTGGTCGCTATCAGCTGGTTCAAGTTCCTGCCATCCTGCTGGGTTTTCTTCCTGTTGCGTATGGAATGCTGATCCATGTTTTCATAGGTATGTTTTCACTATACTAAATTATATCACGGTTGTGCTATTAAACTTTAAAGATCAATGAAACCAAATTTGAGTGGCATGCACACACAATTTACTAGTACAACCCACGTGTATTTACTCAAGACTGAAATCGATCTAACAAATCACTCTAATCTCAAATTCCCAAATAACGACTTTATTTTACACCCGCGATATGAACGAGAAAAGACCAGGTTAGTATTCCCTCTGTGTAGGTCTAATGTTAACATTAATAAGTAACTACTATTCCTGAAAGCTTGATCGCCGAACCCTAACTATTGGTGTGATCAGATAAAATGCTAACTGGAGCATGCGGCAAATGATTCAGTACTTTTTATAACTATTAATATGTGCTTCGATGGTTCATATACATGCAGGACAAAGCATTTTGCTTTTCTCACTCACACTTTCCATGAAATACAGCTCATGTCAACAAACTGTACACGGGCACCACTAGTAATCGAAACAGAAACGATGTCACATCGAACACAACACGAAGCGAGTATGTATACCTCCAAAGCTAACAAGGCTCCGTCAGTGAGACACTACGACTGATGAAGTTTATGTTACTGTAACAGAGTGGCTGTGAGTTACCTCACAAAATATCCAGCATGGTCATGCTATCCATGAACAACAACTAGAATACTGACAGGTCAGCAAGAGACCCACTGTATGCCTGACAGTCTATCTCCGTTATAATAATAATAATAATAATATTTACAATTGACACTGTTTCTGAATCGATAACGTAAGTGTAGGCAAGTCTGTTTATTTCTCAATAACTTGAGTGTAGAACGTGATCCAGTTCTCACCGCGTATGAATACATGTAAATATGGGCAGACTTCTTTCCGCAAACTTCGTGTCAGTGTTTATAAACAAACGCTAACATTTAGACTACCATGCGTTCGAGACACCAACTGATGTCGGGTTCGAGACAAGACAGATCATGTTCATGACCGGTCATAAAAATGAAGCTAGTGTCAGATACTAAAACGCTCCACCAGCTCCACTCTCTCATCTATTGGTGTCGGCACAGAAACGATGGCTATCGTTCCTAGAAATGTAGGTCAAATGTATCGTCTCCCAATTGTTACATCAACAGTCACTCGGTCGACAAACGATGTATACACATCATACAGTGTACATGTCATCTGTACAAACCTCTCGTGCTCCATTGGATTTATTATCTCATAAACAAAACAAAATAAAAGGTTAATCCTTAATTAAACATAATATATATATATATAATATTAATAAAAAAAATGATAAACGACATATTTTCGAAATACCAACTGTGTCGGATGAAGAATAACTTAACTAGTGAAAAAAACTGCGTTAGACCTATGTGACATTCTTACTATTAGAGAAATTCCACATTTTATCCGGACATCTGCTTGTTAAATCTTTCGCGGCGTCATTTAAAAAAAGTCTTTTTCATGAACATGCTTATTCCTTATATTTTCCCTCTCGTTACAAACGCTCAGACGACCTGACGTCTGCTTCATCAAAGTCCCACAAGGTATGCTTTTCTTTTCAGACTTAAGAAGAATTTTTTTTTGTGAAATAGTTATCAAATTGTAAAATTGGGGTTCCTGCCGCTACCCCAGGGGTTAGGATATATAGGACTCAAAAGGGAAAATTGATCATTATTTCAAAAATCTTCTTCAGATTCAGGTGTACTATTATCAAGTACTGTTCATGCACGGAAACGTCCATAGGTGTACAGGAAAAAATGCAAGTCTGCTTGAAATAATAATGAGATATCAATTCGATATCAGAAATGTCCATACATGCTTTATCTAAATTGTAAAGTTTTTTTATTCAAGGGCCATTTGTTGAAGGTAAAAATACTTTGGGGTATATATTGTCCAGTTTCTACCATGTAATATAATGAGTTTTCTGTTATTGCGAAATGACAGTTGGAATTTATTTAAAAATAATAATACAATGTAATTTATTCCTATATTAAATAGGTTCAGTTAACCCTGGACATTATTTAAGATAGCATTAATTCCAACAAGACAGATGTTTTTAATTTACAATAGATGTAGATCTAACATGTTATATTATTGGCTCTCTGGGAATGTACAATGACTGTAAATGCATTTAAAAATAGTCATACATTGTTATTTATTCCTCCCTAAATTATATTAATTCTCTCTGTTACAACAAGACACAAGCTTGTGATTTACAATATTTGATTTAAATAGACCTGCCGAAGAAGCGTTTAAACACCCTCCTTTTTCCTTGGCTGGTGTAGCCTAATATTCAAAAACACACGCAGGCATGAATTTAATTATGATGAATTCTGCAATTTATACAATTTACTTAGGCAGGTGTGAATATTTGATGATAAAGTTAATATCTCAATATGTTGTTCCACAAAATTCTGGTTCAGCTTTGAGCAATAGTAAAGATTTATGTGTTTATGATATTTGTGTATATGCTGTAAACCATTTTTTAGCTCATCTGGCCCGAATAGGTAGAGGGGTAGGGGCAAACAGGGTTATCAGAGGAAAATATTGAAAGTCCTCCTTTTGTTCCAATTAAAGGATTTTAACCAAATTTGTTCTAGAGCATCTTTGGGCAAAATCAACTCAATTCTGTATATACAGAGGGTGTTGATGTTATTCTTACTGTTGACGAACAATTGCCAATATGAACTTCTACAAACATTCTTTTATTAGGGACCCGGGGGTATCACAATTTATCAGGTCAAAGTCAATGTTGCTGTCACTAAAATAGAACAGATGATGGATGTAGGCAATGATGTTACATATGTTTGGATACTATTTCCTTTTTTGTACATCGAGAAAAAATGGAAATTTGCAGAATTAAAATATATAATTATTTATATATATATAAGAGCAATAAAAACAGTTCGATAGTTGGGGATCTTTGGTTAATTACGAAACCAGACATTTGCGTTTTTCCTCGTACTAACAGATTAGTCTCAACGAATTAAATTATCTCTGGGGGGTAATAAATGTAAGTAGTACATACTTGGATAGATTATATGACATTTTTGTTTAAAAATCTATAATTTGACCACAGGTATCTGCCTCGAAAACAAGTGCATCTCCTATATACATAATATACAACTTAACCCAGATTTGTGATTTTGAGAAGTTCCGTACCTTTCAGTATATCATGTGTATAGTATATCTTCTCCTTTTACGAGGCAGATTCCTATGATTTGGCATTCACACCTGATTGAAACCAACGACCAGCGAGTGTTTCAGTCAACAACATGGCCGACTATCTTCCCGCCTTTGCTCGCGTCAGATACTACATGTGTACATGTCTCTTCGATTCCCTCTTGACATATTTTCTGACGCTAAATATAGTCAAGTCAATTGTATGATTAACCTCAATATATATGCCACATGTTTTACGCTATGGAGATCATCACGCCGGTGGTTAATTGATCTAGCTGTCGTTATCACACTACTATCAGACCTGTCTAATTGACAGGTATTTGAGTAACTTGTGTAGTAGCATTGTTAGCGCTGTCATTTAGGCTGGAGTGTGACATGTTTAGCATGATGTTATAATATTACTTGTGATTGAGTTTCGATACCGGGTTCGTTAACTTTTCCCTGTACAGAGTTTATATATATATTGGATTGATGTAAGACAAAACCAGAAAGGTCAACTAGATTTTGTTATGAAAACTTTGGGTAAAACTATGAAACTTTAAGTGAATATCAAAATAGAATGTTTTGTGTTTGTAACTATCACATTTGACCTTGGCATTCACAAAATGACCCTGAGTTTTCTTATCGATAAACATTTAAGGTATTTCCAAGGAAAGTCAGTATACCAGATATATTTTATAGTTGAAGAGGAAACTTTGTTGAAAACAAAGTCGTACTGTACTGAAACTGCTTAAAACCGTATATTTCGGACTTATCAATAATATCCCCAACCACCTTTATCAAAACTTAATAGATTCTATCTCAAACAATAAAATTCATAAAAACTTATTGCTTGCTTTAAATTCAAGACAAATTCTAATCCTATCGAATATGTTTTAAGGGATTTTTTAAAATAAGTTCTGTCATCAATCGTTTCTAATATTTTGCAAAAAAGGCAATATTTTGGGGTCAGCACATTATTTTAGATTGTTTTTTTATACATATATTTATAAGAACACACGTCAATATATTATATATTTACTGTTCCACGATTTACTGGTATAAACATACAATGTACATGTATAATGTTGCAATTTCTTTTGCGACCAAACTGAATGCTACGAAATGACATATTGTTTAAAGTTCATATATATACCTATGTCATTCAAGGCTTAATTTATCTTTTACAAGGCGCAGAGAGGCATACCATCAATTAGATGATTGTTGCTGTGGGAATGAACAAAAATCATAGAAAAACGTCCGAGTAACATATTTTACTGGTATATATAAAACCATAGACCTATGACCATTAAAACTAAATAAACTTCATACAAAGTGTCATTTCTTAACATTAAATGTTGTTATAAAAAGCTAGACTTGTTATAAACATTATCGTACTTTTCAGTTTAAATGTTTATGACATGTCGAGCGTATTCATAACATCACATAATGTTATCAAATGGCACATCATCTAAAGTTGATTTATCGATCAAGTGATGAATAGGAAATGGGGGTTCTTCGCCACTTTATTCCTCCCTCTTTATTTATAGTAAATCCCTCCCTATCGGGATGGATCAGTGAGGCACTAGTGAGGGATAAGGGACTGAGCCACTAAGTGACCTGGCCCCGGAATCTCGAAACTTCTTAATTCTCAATTCTTAACTTTCCATTCTTAAGCTAAGTACGTACTTCGCTGATAATTTCTCAAATTGGTGTATCTCGAAAGCGTTCTTAAATATTTAAGTATGCTCCTTACCATTCTCAAATATTTAGCCCGTTCGCATCTTTTGATTTGATCATGGAGACTTGAGAATCTTTCAGATACACTTTTTTTGAGAATTTGC